CGTGGTTCTGACTCCCTGCAAACGGTCAATGAATTTATTATTGTCATTACAGATTATCAAGATAATGCCGCCGGCCTCGGTAGACCACCCTGCATACATTCCCCAGCCAAAAGCGCAGTTCCCACAGAATCCTTTGACCTGACAGCCCACCCGGAGTCTTGGAAGCAAAGGCATGTATGATTCTAGGACGTTCTCGAGCCCCTAAACCCTAAACCCTAAACCCTAAACCCTAAACCCTAAACCCTAAACCCTATGAGCATCAGGGTTGAAGTGTTTGCATACTCTGGACAAGGGCCGAATACTGACAGGCCCGTTTATGCACTTATGCCGGCTCATCCAGTCGGGCAAGACCGAGGCGCCAAAGCAGTAAAGCTCCAGAACCCCACAAGCCCTAAACCACTAACTCTATCCCCTAAATCCTAAATCCTACCCCAAACCCGAAACCGCAGGCCCTAATCGTCAAACCTCTTCTTACTGTTCGTTACTTTTCGAGGTGGGAACCGATCTGGCACCCTCGGATGTCGAGTCGGCGAAATGGTTCCGTTCGGCCCCCGAAAAGAAGAACGGGAGACATCACTCCATGGTTGAGAGTTTCAGGCTTAGGTCAAGTTTTTTGTGTTGGGTTAAGGGTTGCGGGTGTTTACGGGGCGCTAATTTCGAGGTCCAATAGCACCGCAGAAAACACACTAGCTCTTGTTCTGATTCGTGAGGCCTTTCTCCAATTCCTCAGGGCTTTCTGTAGTATTAGGTTCTATAGTGCAGAAGCTGCAACGGGCGTCAGGATGTTTCGGGATGTTCTGGTTCATTTTGGCTAGGTCGCAACTATGGTAGTGCGTATCCTATGCTTCAGGTTAGGTTCTAGTGCACAAGCTGCATTGGACAGGGACCATCATATTATGGAGAATATGGAGCAGTTCCGAATTTGGGCATTACGGTTGTTTGAGTTCCCCCCAGTCAAGACTCCGCACATGCCATTTGGCTGTGCTTTTTTTAGCATAGCTCGTAGCCGGATGGGCGAGGCACATTCAGTTCAAGTTTCCGGACCTCCAAAACCCCAGCCAGCAAAAAATCCCCCCAAAATCTTACAGCCGTCCGCATAAAGGGTATCTTATCCGAGCTACAGCTACGTCTCTTCCCAGGCAGAGCTGCAGAAGGAGGCAGCAAAGAAGGCATCGTGGTTGCCTTGGGTTGGCTAGTTTGCCACTTAAACAGCTTCTCCCTGTGCTTAGCGGTTGAGCGTGGCAATGGTTTTGTCGCTTGGGTTTGCCGTTGTGGTTTCGTTCATGGGGTGCGGCGGCTAGGGGGTGTGCACAACCCTCCATGGACGGTTGGCGAAGAAGCGCAGCTCGCGGCTAGTAATTGGATGGGGGCGAAGGCCACCGACAGATGTTTATGCCGACTAAGACATGTTGGGAATCGAGAGGTTCTATACCGAGTGAACTTTTAAGTTTATAGCGATGCCTGCAGAAGGAAGCAAAAGCCGCGATGCTGACCTGTACTTAATTACGTATGTTTAACCACGTATGCTGCTATTGATGTTTCTAGGTTTGTTCGTCTGTGTCTATGAAATCTAGATATAGATATCGAGGAACAGCATCTGGCATCGCAATGATTTTGCAATGCTGTACGATGGGTGGTGCTTGTGCCTGCGTTTCTATGTGCGTCGCGTTTGCCACAGCGCATACATTCCTGCATGCACATGGCTGTGCCTGATCGCCCGCCTGCCTGCCTGTTTGGAGCNNGCCCCCCCCCCCCCCCCCCCTTCGCCTTTCTCCTTGTCTGTCTGTCTGACCTTGTGTTTGTCTGTCGGCTTGTGGGTTCATGCGTCTCTCGCTCCCTTTTCGTGTTTCATGATCTCTCTCTCTCTCTCT